GATTGTGATGGGGAAGGCTGGCGAAGACCATGTGTAGAGGGGAGTGAAGACGGTGGTCTTAGGGATGGCAGTTTTGAAAGGCCTGCTTCTAAGTGGCTGTGAGTGGAGCCTGGGCATCTGCGTTTCTTAAACTCTCCCTCTCAGATCGTGGAGAAGAAAGGGAGAGGAATGAACTGCACTCTTTGTTTTGTTTTGTTTTGTTTAGACGGAGTCTCTCTCTGTCACCCAGGCTGTAATGTAGTGGCAGGATCTCGACTCACTGCAATCTCTGCTTCCCCGGTTCAAGCAATTCTCCTGCCTCAGCCTCCTGAGTAGCTGGGATTACAGGCACACACCACCATGCCTGGCTAGGTTTTTGTATTTTCAGTAGAGAAGGGATTTCACCATGTTGGCCAGGCTGGTCTTGAACTTCTGACCTCAAGTGATCCACCCACCTCAGCCTCCCAAAATGCTGGGATTACAGGCGTGAGCCACCACGCCAGGCCTGTGCTTGGTTTTGAATTCGCCCAAGCCTCCCAGGCCTCAAACTCCATGATTTTCTTTTTTTTGAGATGGAGTCTCATTCTGTCGCCCAGGCTGGAGTGCAGTGGCACGATCTCTGCTCACTGCAGCCTCCACCTCCCGGGTTCCAGGGATTCTTGTGTCTCAGCCTCCCAAGTAGTTGAGACTACGGGCACGAGCCACCATGTCTGGCTAATTTTTGTATTTCTAGTAGAGACGGGATTTCACCATGTTGGCCAGGCTGGTCTCGAACTCCTGACCTCAGGTAATCCACCCACTTCGGCCTCCCAAACTGCTAGGATTACAGGTGTGAGCCATCGTGCCCAGCCTAAACTCTATGATTTTCAAGGACAAGACTTCTGCTTCCAGAGCTAGAGGAGGCCTGCTAATGGTGCTTCGCCATCAAGGAAAGGAGACCAGCCGGGGTTGGTGCATGGAGGGCAGTGAACACCCTCCTGCCAACTGGCTTGCTGTCCCTTCCTATCCAACCCCCAGCCCCCTGCCATTTACATCCAGGTCCTTGGCAATTTGCCCTTGAGCATCATTATTAGCCTGATACACACACGCACACACACACACACACATACATATACATATACATATGTATATATATATATATATATATATATTTTTTTTTGAGACAGAGTCTCCCTCTTGTCACCCAGGCATGAGCCACTGCACCTGTCCATTATTAGCCTGATCTTACTACCTGTGGATGAAGAAATATCCAAGTCCTGCCTCTCTTTTGTTTGATAAAATGGAATGGTAAAAATTTAGCAATTGGCTGGGTGTGATGGCTCACGCCTGTAGTCCCAACACTTTGGGAGGCCAAGGTGGGCAGATCATGAGGTCAGGAGTTCGAGACCAGCCTGGCCAATCTTGTGAAACCCCATCTCTATGAAAAATACAAAAATTAGCCAGGCATGGTGGCAGGTGCCTGTAATCCCAGCTGTTCGGGAGGCTGAGGCAGGAGAATCACTTGAACCCGGGAGGCGGAGGTTGCAGTGAGCCGAGATTGTGCCATTGCACTCCAGCCTGGGCAACAGAGTGAGACTCTGTCTCAAAAAAAAAAGAAAAAAAGAAAAAAAGAGAGAAAGACAGAAAAGGATGGGCCCATGTGAGCAGCAGGAGCTGTCCATCAAAGGGAGTTCCACTAGGCAGGAGGGCAGGGATTCTTTTTGGCCACTAACTTGGCATGCAGTTTTCGAAAACTTGCTAATTCTTCCTTAAGTATATACATTGGAAGCTACAAGATTACTTGCATCAGTGACAGTGGCCTGAGCCCACCGTTTGTTTTGTTTTGTTTTGTTTTGTTTTCTGTTTTTTTTTTAAAGACAGAGTCTTGCTTTGTCACCCAGGCTGGAGTGCAGTAGCGCGATCTCAGCTCACTGCAACCTCCGCCTCCTGGATTCAAGCGATTCTCCTGCCTCAGTCTCCCGAGTACCTGGGACTACAGGTGTCTGAGCCCACTGTTGAATCCACCTACTCTATCTCCTCGCAGGCTCAAATAACAGCCATTAATGCAGTGTAGGTTCCAATCCCAAGTCTCCAAGCAATGATTTTGGGGCAGAGGATGTATTATACATACACCTATGGACATTTCTTGGCATCGTATTACAATGCTTTACAATGTAGCATGGGGTTTGTTTCTTAGATTTTACACAGGAAGTTTACCTACTGATACATAGGTTAAGCGTTCCAAACCAAAAACCCGAAATCCTCCACAATTTGAAACTTTTTGAGCATCAGCCTGATGCTCAAAGGAAATGTTCACTGGAGCATTACGGATTTTGGATTTTTGGATTTGGGATGATCAGTTGATAGGTACATTAGGCAAATATTCCAAAATCAAAAAAAAAATGCAAACTCCAAGACACTGTGATTCCCAAGCTATTTATTTATTTTTTGAGATGGAGTCTTGCACCATCACCCAGGCTGGAGTGCAGTGGCGCGATCTCAGCTCACTGCAACCCCCACCTCCTGGGTTCAAATGATTCTTGTGCCTCAACCACCTGAGGAGCTGGGATTACAGATATGCACCACTACGCCCACCGAATTTTTGTATTTTTAGTAGAGACAGGGTTTTACCATGTTGCCCAGACTGGTCTTGAACTCCTGGCCTCAAGTGATTCTCTCACCTGGGCCTCCCAAATTGCTGGGATTGCAGGCATGAGCCACTGTGCCTAGCCCCCTAGGCATTTAAATGAGGAGCATACTCAACCTGTACTAAAAACACTGTGTTATGACGTTGTCTTTCCATGTCCCAGAAATGGATTCAGGGACATCATTTCTATTCCTCATAGAAATGAGCCATCTTTAGGTGTCTGGGCGTGGTGACTCATGCTTGTAATCCCAGCACTTTGGAGGGCTGAGGCAGAAGGATCCCTTAAGCCCAGCAGTTTGAGACCAGCCTGGGCAGTGCAATAAGACCCCATCTCTACAAAAGATAAAATTATATCACTTCTCAGCCTTTTGGCTAAGATTAAGTGCAAAAATAATGTTATTAGCTAGGTGTGGTGGTATGCACCTGCAGTTGCAGCTACTCAGGAGGCTGAGGTGGGAGGATCACCTGAGCCCAGAAGGCTGAGGCTTCAGTGAACCGTGATTGTGCCATTGCACTCCAGCCTGGGTGACAGACCAAGACCCTGTCTCAACAAACAAACAAACAAACAAACACGCAAACAAACAAACTCCTTGGGTAATGACCCAGCGGTCACCCATCGTGATCAATTTTTCCGTGGGACTGAACCACTGTCATTTTCTGGTGCTTTATAACAGCTTACAAAGTGCTTCCGCAGTTACTTTCTCACTTGCTTTTCCCCAATGCTCACGGCGTTATTGGCGGTGTATAGATGCAGAAGCCAAAAGAGGTTAAGTCATTTGCCCAAAGTTACAGAGCAAGGGGAGACCTGGACCTGAGCCCCAGTCCTTGGCCTCTGCTCTCACGCTTTCCCAAGTCCCTGCTGTGGGGACTTTGGTGGCAGCGGGCCAAGGCAGTTCCGGGCACCTGGGCTGATTGTGTGACTGTGAGTTTGGTAAGCCGAGCCTGGGAGGTGTTTGCAATGCCCTGAGCTGGCTCCTGGGAATGCATTCTGTGCCATGCAGGGCCGTGTTGCAACGTGACTAATGGATGAGAAGGTTGAGGAGGAAAGCCATTACTTCACCAATGTGAATCAAGGTCATTCATCACCTCAGGAAGCACACGGAGCTGCGACATTCAGGAGGGAGGCACGCTGCCCCCAAGCCAAGCCACGATGTGGCCTGGCGCCGGTCCCATGCAGCAGGGAGAAGGGAAGTTTCTGGAAGCGAAGATGAGCTGGGCAGCCAGGCCCAGGGCCCTGGCTGTGCGTGCATCAGCCGCCTCTGAGAAAAAGAGTCCAAGTACTATGTGGGGTTTTGCCCACGAGTGGGGCAATGGTGTAGTTTCCAGGAGGCGTTGGCAGGAGCTGACTGATACTGGCTGGGGTCTCCGGAGGACAGTGACTGGAGGATCAGTGGCCTCTGACCCTCTCCTACCACCTGAGGAAATCAGGCCAATCGTGAGCCACCAGAGTGTCCTCACCGAGACGGCCTCTCTCCCTGGTGTAACAAGCCACATTTGCTGCTTTTCTGGGAGAGTTAGAAGCAACCACGTGGGTGACTTCTTTTCAAAGTTCTCTGCCTCAGAGGAGGAAGCCCCATGGGTGGAGGCCAGGCCTGAGGCCATCCTGCTCTGGGCCAGAGCATGCTTGTGTCTGACGAGCGAGGACACGCCTTGTCTGGCTGAGGCTTCCATTTCACGCTGGCGGTTCGAACCCCCATCACGGCTTCCTTTTGGGCTCCCCTTCTCAGGGGCCCGGGCCTGAAATGTGCTTGCCCTTCATCCCTCAGGATGTGTCCCTTCCTCAGAGAGGACTAAGTTAGCCCCTCCCCTAGTCTCGATGTGCTCCAAAGCCCTTCCTATTCACAGAAACTATCTGGCCTATTTATTTGCTTGCTTGCTTGCTTCTGATGTCTTCCCTTACTGAAAGGTAAGTCATGTGGGAGATGGAATCACACCAGGTTTGGTTCACCATTACATCCTCCACACTTTTCTGATTTATTTATTTATTTTAGAGTCGGAGTCTTGCTCTGTCATTTAGGCTGGAGTGCAGCGGCACAGTCATAGCTCACTGCAGCCTCAAACTTCTGGACTTAAGTGATCCTCCTGCTTCGGCCTCCTGAGTAACTAAAGACTACAGGTGTGCATCACCATGCTTGGCTAATTTAAAAACATTGTTTTAATACAAAAATTAGCTGGGTGTCGTAGTGTGAACCTGCAGTGCCAGCCACTGTGGAGGCTGAGGTGGGAGGATCATTTGAGCCCAGGAGATTGAGTCTGCAATGAGCTGAGATCGTACCACTGCATTCTAGCCTGGCAACAGAGTAAGACCCTGTCTCATTTTTTTCTTTTTTTTTTGTAGACATGGGGTCTCACTATATTGCCCAGGTTGGTCTTGAACTCCTGGGCTCAAGGGATCCTTCTGTCTCAGCCTCTAGTGTCCCTGGGATTACATGTGTGAGCCACTGGACCTGGCTCCCCTGAAGACTTTCTGTGGAGCCTGGCACCAGGGGAACCCAATATCTATCCTGTGAATGAATGAATAAATGCAAGGAAGTAAATGAAGAGGAAGCGGGCATCAGAAGGGGCATGTTTTACATGAGTAGATACCATGCAAAGGCCCTCCTGGGTACCATCACCAGTGCGGGGCAGCCTGTGAGCCCCTGGAGGGAGGTCTCCCTGACACCCTGCCCACTCCTCCTGGGGCCGAGCAGGAGTCACATCCAAGGGCTGGGTCATTATCTGATACACGAGTGGGTTGTGCGGATGAGTAAACAGGGACTGACCCAGAGGTCAGGTGTAACTCAGTCTCAGAAACTGCATGTGCCAATAGGAATCGAAGGGCCAAGGAATGTGTTTTTCATTGATGTCAACTTGCTGCAAAGGACCACACCTGCTTCTCGACCCGGGAACGTGGGAAAGGGAAAGGCCTGGCTTGCTTTGGTGGAGATGGAGGAGCTGGTAACAGTGGAGGAATGCCCTTCTTCTGATTCACAGCGGGGAGGTGCTCTGGGCCCCTGCCACTGCCCGAGGACTTCGGGTAAGTAAGCCCGTGGCCCCCAACCCTTCCCCGCCAGACGCCCTGGCAGATGGCTTGTCCTGACAAGTACGTGCTTTCTGGATGGAACAGCCTCCCTTTTGTCCAAACCCTTCCTTTGAATTTAAAACGCACAAAGCACCTTTCGAAGAGGAAAAGAATGGGATCAGGAAGAGGAGGCTGTATCTCATTTGGACACTCAAGCCCTCAGCTCCTGCCCGAGAGTTTCTGTAATTCACTTCCACACCACGTCATGCCTTTTGGCTCCCAGCCAGGTGCGGTGGCATCCGTGGCTTTATCTTTCTGGGAAGTCAGAGTCACGTTCCCTGGAGTCTTCCCTTTCCTCTCCCCAGCTTTCAGTTGTCCTGATGAGAGGACGCGGCATTTGAGCAGTAGCTTCTGGAACCCAGAGTGAAGCCCCACCCAGGCACCCTGACAGCACCACGGGAATGCTCCCGGCACAGCAAGCGGGGCTCTGGAGAAGCACAGCCTCCGTGCTCCTTGTAGATGTTCAGTTCAAACTCCACGGTTTGTGTGACTCACTGAGGGGCTTGGTTTGGCTCTCGCTGACGAGTCTGTCATCGGTGCCAGGGGACATGCTTGTCCCCTCCTTCCTTCTAGCCCTCTCTCTTGCCCCAGGGCTTCATAAGCAGTGGGAGGGCTACTGTGTTGCCCTCTGGCCCAAGCTCTGGTATTCCCTTTGTGGTGGGTGCTCTCATTCCTTTGCAATGTGCCCTGCAGTGTAAACTCGGGGGATCCATGAGACAGGGAACCCATGTCTGTTTTCTCCATTTGGTGTAGCATGCCAGTGGGCGTTTGCCAGACAGGGCCTATCATGTGGACCCTACACCTATTCACACACCTGCCATTTTCCTTCGGAATCCTGTTCCCAGTGGGTAATGGGTTTAAAAGCCCAGAGCTGAATTCTATCCACATTGGATCCGACCCACATTCCAATGCTCTTGTAAGTCTCCAGTTGGTCAAATGAGCAGTTTGATCCCTTGATCCTTCAAACTACCAGATATATTTATTTCTTCTTGCCTTTTGATCTTTCAAGCTTGAAATTTCTCGGCACATAAAAGTCTTCAAAATGCCCTCAAACTTCTGTCTCCAAAGGCAATTTTTTTCACTTTTTCATTTTTTTGTAGAGATAGTCTCACTATGTTGCCCAGGCTGGTCTTGAACTCCTGGCCTCAAGTGATCCTCCCCCCTTGGCTTCCCAAAGTGCTGGGATTACAGGTGTGAGCTGCTGTGCCCAGCTACCAAAGGCATTTTTACTTGGCTCTGTACAGTGGAGCTGCTTCTCTATTTGGAGGTTGAAGTTTGTGTCAGGTTCTTGAGTTTGTAAGAATAGGACATGAGAACAGAGAGCCTTTTAATCAGATGAGCAGCTATCTATGTTATGTTTTCACAGATTTTGATTCTTCTTTTTTTTTTTTTTTGAGACAGAGTCTTGCTTAGCTACCCAGGCTGGAGTGCAGTGGCACGATCTTGGCTCATTGCAACCTCCGCCCCCTGTGCTCAAGTGATTCTCCTGCCTCAGCCTCCCAAGTAGCTAGCTGGGACTACATGCCACCATGCCTGGCTAATTTTTGTATTTTTGTATGTATTAGTAGTAGAAATGGGATTTCACCATGTTGGCCAGGATATTCTCGATCTCTTGACCTCACGATCCGCCCATCTTGGCCTCCTAAAGTGTTTGGATTATAGGCGTGAGCCACTGCGCCCGGTTGATTTTGATTATTCTAAGTAGGGATAGTCAAAGTCTTCACAGTGTTTGACATTTCATGTATTTATCAGCTGAAACTTATTGTTTCGTGGTTTTGAGGAATCTCAGTGAAATAATTCAGTGTTGCCAGATCCTGGGAATCTTTTCTCCCCAAGGCATTTGCTGTATCGTTAATAAATGTATGTATCACATAGAGAGGTATAATTAGAGTACACTTAGAATTAGTTTATTTCTCTAAAGATGCTTTTACCTTAGCTCGATGTGGTGGTACGCACCTGTAGTCCCAGCTACTTCTTGGGAGGCTGAGGTGGGAGGATTACTTGAGCCTGGGAATTTGAGGCTGCAGTGAACTATGATCGCACCACTGCAGTCCAGCCTGGGCCACAGACCCTGTCTCAAAGAAAGAAAGAAAGAAAGAAAAAATACTTTTTTTTTTTTTTTTTTTTTTTTTTTTTGAGATGAAAAAAACTCTGTCACCTAGGCTGGAGTGCAGTGGCGTGATCTGGGCTCACTGCAACCTCCACCTCCCAAGTTCAAGCGATTCTCCTGCCTCAGCCTCCTAAGTAGCTGGAATTACAGGCAGGCACTACCATCCCCTGCCAATTTTTTTTTGTAGTTTTAGTAGATAACTAGGTTTTACCATGTTAGCCAGGCTGGCCTCAAACTCCTGACCTCAAGTGATCCACCCACATCGACCTCTCAAAATGCTTGGATTACAGGTGTGAGCTACTGCACCAGGCCAGAAAACAAAACAAAACAAAACAAAGACTTTACCTGGTCATTTAAAAAACCAGGTAATTTGACCTAGGCAATTTTCATTAAGCCTATTTTCATAAGGGAGAACAAAACACAGTTCTCAACTTCTTGTCCCCCTTTGTCCCTACTTCCCTCATTACCTCCTCTCCTGCTTGTCTTTCTCTTCACTCCAGGAGCTGAGAACAGCCCCCCTTCTGGTTTGAGGCCAACCTGTCCGTGTGCACCCTTAGCCTCACATCAGTGGAGGATCACCCATCCCTTCCTTGTGCTAGAAACTTGATGACTGTATTCCGTGAGCCTGCAGGACTCCTGCTCTCCTCCTTCTTATTTAACTGCACCAGCTTACGAGTGGCCTACATGCTCCGTCTTCATCTCCTTACCCCATCTACACCATCGTCTACCATGCTGTTGCTGAGGTTACTTACCTGGCCTCTTTCCTCTACACTCTTCTCCACACTCACTTGTCCAGGTGCACATTGATACCTACACCTGGCTGTCCTACAGATAACTCGAAATCAAGATGGCGGGGAATAAACTCACCATCTTACTCTATATGTCTGCCTGTCCTTCAGTATTTCTCATGTGGGATAAGGGTGCTGTGATTAGCCCACTTGTCCAAGACAAAACACCTGGAGGTCATTCTTTTTTTTCCTTTTTTCTTTTCTTTTTGAGACAGAGTTTCGTTCTTGTCGCCCAGGCGGGAGTGCGAAGGCACGATCTCGGCTCACAGCAACCTCTGCCTCCCCGGTTCAAGTGATTCTCCTGCCTCCTGAGTAGCTGGGATTACAGGCGCCCACTACAACACCTGGCTATTTTTTTGTTTTTGTTTTTTTGTTTTGTTTTTGAGATGGAGTTTCGCTTTTGTTGCCCAGGCTGGAGTGCAACGGCGTGATCTTGGCTCAACACAACCTCTGCCTCCCAGGCTCAAGTGATTCTCCTGCCTCAGCCTCCTGAATAGCTGGGATTACAGGCATGTGCCAGCATGCCTGGCTAGTTTTGTATTTTTAGTAGAGATGGGGTTTCTCCATGTTGGTCAGGCTAGTCTTGAACTCCTGATCTCAGGTGATCTGCCCACCTCGGCCTCTGAAACTGCTGGGATTACAGGCGTGAGCCACTGTGCCCGGCCACCTTTTTGTATTTTTAATAGAGATGAAGTTTCACTATGTTGGCCAGGCTGGTCTGGAATTCCTGACCTCAGGTGATCCACCCGCCTCGGCCTCCCAAAATGCTGGGATTATAGGTGTGAGCCACTGCGCCCGGCCTGGATGTCATTCTTGACTCCACTTGGCTGCCACATTCTATCGTTGAGTTCTACCTGCATGGTTCCCTCGGCCAGGGATAACGCCATTTCTCACCTGCCTGACAGTTCCTGCAAAATCCTCACCTGATGTCACTATGGCTGCAAAGCTTCCCCAACTTCCTCCCTAAGAGAGACACAGTGGCACCTTTTTTATTTTTTATTTTTGAGACAGAGTCTCGCTCTGTCCCCCAGGCTGGAGTGCAGTGACGTGATCTTGGCTCACTGCAGCCTCCACCTCCTGGGTTCAAGTGATTTTCCTGCCTCAGCCTCCCAAGTAGCTGGAACTACAGGTGCATCGCACCACACCCGGCTAATTTTGTAATTTTAGTAGAGACGGGGTTTCACCATGTTAGCCAAAATGGTCTCCATCTCCTGACCTTGAGGAAGCAGGTCTGATTTGCCTGCCTCGGCCTCCCAAAGTGCTGGGATGACAGGCATGAACCACTGCACCTGGCCCAGTTGTACTTTTTTGACATATGTATGTCTTCTCTTATTTTCCCCGTTACTCTATTGCCATCATTTGTTTTTCTGCTGCTCTCACTTGCCAGATATAAACATCCAGAGAGCAGGAACTGTTTTGGCACAGTTCAGTTTCTAGTACAGTGCATAGCACATAGTAGACCCTCAATAAATGTGTGGAAGTGAGCCCTCCAATATTCCAGGTAAGTACAAAGGGGCCTGGTAATTAGGGCCTCTTCATGGCTAGTGATGGTCAAAGAGAAAAATCGGGCAGCAATCCAAGAAGCACGGTAGCCCTGTTTTCCTCTTTTCTAGGCAGCTGGCTGTGCCTGCATTTCCTTTTGTGGCCAGAACATCAGAGCTTGAGGTTTGGCTTTGTCATTTCCTGACCCTCTGAAACTCTGACCCTCTGAGTTTCATTTTGCCAAAGGACAAGATCCTAGAGGAGAATGCAGTCTCGAGCATTCTGTGACCCTCAGGCTCCAGGGCCCTCCTCATGCCCGCCCTCTCTCAGCGGTGTGCATGAGTGTGGCGTGTGCAAGCGTGTGCAGTGAGCCCTGGGTGTGCACATGCTGTTTACAAAGGCAGACCAAGGTGCCCAGCATGCCGTTCCAGCTGGCCATGGCTAGATGCATCCGCAGCGGTGTTTCTTTATTGGGGCGATGGCTGAGAAAGGAAATTGCATTGTTTTGGGGCTGTCTCAGGGAGGACATTTGATACAGCCACAAAGTTTAGCCTTCCAAGTGGCCTCCACTTTCA